CCCCCTCCATTCACACATTGGTCAGCCCCGATCCCATCACCCAGCAGCAGGAGGGCTCCCAGCACCCACTTCCATTGTGGCCCCGGGCAGAGATCCCCTCCCCCTCCATTCACACATTGGTCAGCCCCGATCCCATCACCCAGCAGAAGGAGGGCTCCCAGCACCCACTTCCATTGTGACCCCGGGCAGAGATCCCCACCCCCTCCATTCACACATTGGTCAGCCCCGATCCCATCCCCCAGCAGAAGGAGGGCTCCCAGCACCCACTTCCATTGTGGCCCCGGGCAGAGATCCCCTCCCCCTCCATTCACACATTGGTCAGCCCCGATCCCATCACCCAGCAGAAGGAGGGCTCCCAGCACCCACTTCCATTGTGGCCCCGGGCAGAGATCCCCTCCCCCTCCATTCACACATTGGTCAGCCCCGATCCCATCACCCAGCAGAAGGAGGGCTCCCAGCACTGACTGCGGTCTGAGACATCATGTGACCAGATACTGCAAATGGAAGAATCCAAACTGTGAGATGTGTTGGAGGAGGCATGTCACAATCTTATGAATCAGTGGGGTATAATCTTCAAGGGGCCACATTATGCCAACAAAGGGCCACAACTACATATTTCAGAGCACTCTGGTAATTAATGTCATTGTAATAATCACAACCAAAAACATTTTACACAGAGGAAGGGGCCACGTCCTGAGAATGATGGCAGGCAGCACAGCTTTACACTGGCTGAGGGCCACACATGGCCCAAACAACAGCCGTCTGACATGTCTGGGTCAGAGGAGCAGTAAGGATGAGGATGATGGGGGTACCATTGTCACAATCAAGGTTCCCACCTGTCCCGGATTCACCTGGACAGTCCGCTTTTGAGTCCTGTATGTGCAGTGTCAGGGTTTCAGCTGGCCCGAGACCCGGGAAAGAGCACATACAGGACTCAAAGCCCGGACTGTCCAGGTGAATCCGGGACAGGTGGCGACCCTATCATCAATCCCCATTTATATCAGTGTGAGATGACAGGTAGAGCCCACAGAGGAGCCACAATGTACAAAGGGGTCACTACGGGGGGGGGGGATTGTTATCATAGGGGACCACCGACTGCTCACAGAGAGGGAAGGATATAACAGGGATACACTGCCCTCATCAGGGTGATAGTACTGATACCGGGGGGAAGGATATAACAGGGACACCCTGCCCTCATCAGGGTGATAGTACTGATACCGGGGGGAAGGATATAACAGGGACACCCTGCCCTCATCAGGGTGATAGTACTGATACCGGGGGGAAGGATATAACAGGGACACCCTGCCCTCATCAGGGTGATAGTACTGATACCGGGGGGAAGGATATAACAGGGACACCCTGCCCTCATCAGGGTGATAGTACTGATACCGGGGGGAAGGATATAACAGGGACACCCTGCCCTCATCAGGGTGATAGTACTGATACCGGGGGGAAGGATATAACAGGGACACCCTGCCCTCATCAGGGTGATAGTACTGATACCGGGGGGAAGGATATAACAGGGACACCCTGCCCTCATCAGGGTGATAGTACTGATACCGGGGGGAAGGATATAACAGGGACACCCTGCCCTCATCAGGGTGATAGTACTGATACCGGGGGGAAGGATATAACAGGGACACCCTGCCCTCATCAGGGTGATAGTACTGATACCGGGGGGAAGGATATAACAGGGACACCCTGCCCTCATCAGGGTGATAGTACTGATACCGGGGGGAAGGATATAACAGGGACACCCTGCCCTCATCAGGGTGATAGTACTGATACCGGGGGGAAGGATATAACAGGGACACCCTGCCCTCATCAGGGTGATAGTACTGACACTGGGGGAAGGATATAACAGGGATACACTGCCCACACCAGGGTGATAGTACTGATACCGGGGGGAAGGATATAACGGGGACACACTGCCCTCATCAGGGTGATAGTACTGACACTGGGGGAAGGATATAGAAGTGACACTCCCCCTGAATAAGTAAGGTAATATTGGTGACAGGGGTTCATAGAAGGGGAAGGATATAGAAGTGACACTCACGCTCTCCCACCAGCAAGATGCGGATGTCCTTCTTCATGGCTCTTCTCTGTCCTCCGCCACCCGGAGTCACCTCACAGCGCGGCACGCTCTGCAGTACGGCAGACGTCCGAGG